CTTAAAATTGATAGAAATTGAATATTCACAAAAATCGTAAACGCCATGAAGTTCCCCTATTTGCTATTGAAAAGCTATATTTTGTAGCTTGTAGTTTTGCTGAAAATTGCAAAAAATCATCGCTATTCTCTAATCTAAAATTCCAACCATTTTCCAGATCATCAACGACGAGGAGCCCGACGCGAACTCGTTCATCTGGCAACCCGCCGCCTACGTTTAATAAAAATTCTAAAAATTATCAATTTTTCTTTATGTTGCTATCCTGTTGCGTCTGTGATAAAATTCCCCCTTTCCACCCTGCCATTCGTTTTATTATTATTCTAATGAACGATTTTTTGCTCTATTTTTCTCTGCGTCTCTCCATTTTCGCATTATTTCCTCAATTTCTATCCCTTTCTAAAAAATGCCACAGCTCTTTCCCTCGGGGTACGGTATCATAGCCATTTTCTCGCCAATATTTTTCTCCATTTTAGACGCAAAATTAGCATAAATTTGTCGATTGATTTTTAGAGGTGGCAAGCTAGCAGCGATTCTTTGGGAAAAACACTATCATTAAATTGCCCAAAATTTAGTTTTAAACGATTAAGATCTTCAAAAAAGGATACGAGTTAACCTAATTTATTTAATTCCAAAAAACTGTCATTGCTACAAAAAAAAACTAAATTAAATTAAAAAGGAGATTTCTAAAAACCCCCACCATCAAAGTTGTGAATATTTATCGTTTTGTGTTTTTTCCATGCTGCTCTAGGTCTTTGAATTTTTGTGGATAAATTTTTGAAATGATAAAACGTCAATTTTTACACCAAGATTGGCCCGGACCTAAGAAACCTCGATTTGAATGTATAAAAGAATACGCATTTTCAAAGAACACCATTTATTACAAAGCATTTAAAAAGCAAAAAATCAAACAACAAAACCGGCTCACAACAAAGAGACGAGTTGCCGCTGGAATGGGACCATGACTTGGGGGCGATTGTCGGCGTCTCGACGAATTGTCACCGTTGCAGGGGGAATGTCACTGAAAATAGGGATTAAAATAACAAACAAAAACTGTTTTAGAGAGATTAAAAAGTCAAAATTCGCAAAAAAATGCAAGCGGTACCCGATACGAGGATCAGCAAATTTATTTAGCTCCGAAAATGGCCGAAAATTTGAGAAAAATGCTTTCTTGCAGAATTTTTGCGCGCGCGTGAATTACATGCCGTAAAATTGACAAATCTAAAATGGCTTAACTCGCCTAACGATTCCAGAAATAGCTTTGAAAATTTGAAACGTTGTTTGAACGTGAAAACGCAGCAACTTGCAAATTCTGATCCTATTTGCGGAATCGGCACGCTATTTTAGCACCCTAGCCGTGTTAGTCAGAAAAATGCGTCCAGGAATCGACGCGAAATCGATGAATTTGGGCGCTCTAAAGGTCAATACAGCATGTAAACCCTCACAAGCGTCTTGAAAAAGTATAGAAAAGCTCACCATAAACTGCCAATCCACCGTTGCTCCTCGTTGACTTTCGGGTAGTAGATCTCCTCCCAATCACGCAGGTACCAGCCGTATTCCACCTGAAAAATGTCAATTTAAATGAAAAAGCGACAATGTACCTCTTCCTGCGCTCCGAGCAGCTCGCCCTCCTCCAATTCGGTGTAGGCGATCGAGGCCAGGCAGTCCATATTTCGGCACTCGATTACACTAAAAATCGGAATAATTCTGGCCAAAACTCGTAATTTTACAAAATTCCGCCTAACGCAAACATTTACTGAAAAGAGCGGTTTCCATGGGTTTTTCGCGAAAGATAGATAACGCCGTCTTGTTTTCTAGACGTTATAAATTTATTACCTTAAAAAAATCGGGCAAATGAAAAACATTTTACAAAACTTAACGAGCTTTTTAGCGCGCTTTTCCACGGTATTCGCATCAAAAATAGCAAAAACAACGCTAAATCGCGAACTATCTTACCGAAAAGTGGCTCTATTTTTGCGTTGATAAACCAATCAATTGCTACCGTTTCCTGTCCGGCCGGCCCGGGTCAACCACGCGAAAGCTGGTGCATTTGCAGCGGACACAGGGCGGGTATTCCTTCGTGGCGTCTTCTCGCTTCGACCGCGTCAACATCTTTGGCTTTGCCGTTGAGGGGGATGGCGAGCGTTCCTCAAAAAAATATACGTTCAAAAAAGTTAAATTCCACGGTAAAAAAACCCAAAAATTTCAATTCTCACCAAAAATACGATAAAATTCCTTACCCGAATCAGGCGCTTCGGCCTTCCCGTTCCCGGCTTTCTCACAAGGTCCTCCTCGAAGGATTCTAAAAATACCGGGTTCAACGCCAAAAATAAAGCAACTAACCGGCCGTCGTGCCAGCGTACAACTTCGCCACTTCCGCTTTTCCGAACCGCATGCCCGGCTTGAGTCCGTTTTTACCGATCGCGGTGAAAACCTGGAAAAAGTTAGAATTCGTTTTTTGTAATTCGAAGAAGAAAAAAAGAAACGGAAAATGGGCGAATGAGAGGTGAAAAAATGAGAAATTGGGAAGACTACGCGCCAATACCGTTGCTACACTCAATTTTAGGTCGTAAAAATTGCAGAAAAGGGTTTTTTAGTGAAATTTGTTTAGTTAGGCTGTAAAAACCGTAGCTAACGATGTTGTATGGGATTTTAAAGAATATGACAGATAAGTAGCCCTCTTACCTGCACGGCAATCGATGCGAAGCCGACAGTCTCCGCGGCCTCTTTCACGTCGATCGCCTCGAACGTCGATTCTAACGCTAAAATCCCGGATTTTAATTTTTGGATAAGGCTGCTCACCTTTTAGCTCTTCATCTGTTAGTTCATCCGCTGGCGCCAAAGACGACATTTTTGAGGGGGGAATCAGGAACTCGAGATTTCGCTGAAAATACAGATTGATCATAAAATTTGGAAATGAAAAATTCGTGATTCGATAAAAATCACTATCCAGGAAAACAAGCACATAAAATCGATGAATTCATTTTCATTCTAAATACTAAATATAGTTTCAAATAAGAAAGGATAATGTTGATGACCGTTGTGTATTTCCCTGGGGAGGGTTCAACAGTGGGGGGGGGGGGGGGGAGGCGGCTCATCGCCTCTTTAATTAAATTTTTTTTACTTTAAAAACTTTGACGGATCGAAAGATCGCAAGCACAATCCGAATAAAGCTTTGTCCGAAAGTTTTTGTCCGACTGTAGCTGCTACAGTCTTTTTTTTTTGCCGCAAGGATGGGGGAGAGGAAGGGAGACCGGGGAGAAGCGATTGCTCGTGTCCCTCCCCCCGGTGACCAGTCATCCCTTTCCATGTGTTCGAGAACACGTAACCCATCCCACAACCGTCCACTTTCATTGCTTATCGCGCATTCAGACTCTTGTTTATTTCCTAGCCTATCCTTGCAAATTTCCATAATTTATTTTTGTAAAACCGCACTAAAATTTTGGTGTTACCTACAGTAAGACAACCGTAAAATTTGCGAAATTAAACGGCTTAGCCCGCGCTCAAATAAAACATGCGGCTCGATAAAAGGACACATCTAAAAATACCCACTCCTCAACATGCCGACCCCAACCCGGCACTGAAAAAATACCGAAAAATCCGACATTTTTGGGCCGGTATTTGGGCTATCGACGCTTTAGGTGTCGGTATTTTCGAGCGTCGGGATTTCCTCGCTTAGAAAATTCAATTTTGTACTTTGAAACGCTCAATTATCATCTTAGAGTTGTCGATACTACTCTAAACCATTTCCAGGGCCCCAAAAACTAAAATAATCATATCCTAAGCGCCATTTGGGGTGAAATTTAGCGCGTCAATCTGAAGGGGCTGAATCCAAAAGTAAGCAAACGAAGCACGAAGCATTTTATGCAAATTGGAGCGCCTTGGTGACATCTGTCTCGCGGGCAACGGATGGCAGCGTCCATTGGCGCTTGGCGTCGCCTCAGCGCGGCGCACCGAAGCGTTCCAAATGACGTTAAAACCACATGCCCTTTCTGCATCGGATGCCGGTCCCGTTTTTCTGTGCGCGCGTCGGGGATAAATGGCGGCAAAGCTCGCATTAATGAGCTAAAAGCAGGGTTTCTAGCTGAATTTTCAAAATTTCAAAGTCAAGAGGAGCTTGTAAATTAGCTTCTTGAGGTGTGCAATTTTTTGTCGTTATTTTTCAAAAATAAAGCCTTTTGAGAAACAATTTTACCTGAAAAATTGCTTTTTTCAAGCCTGCTGAATCGGAACGTGGTTACTCTGGTAAAATTACGTGCATTTAAAGCCAAACGATATGCTTTCTTGAAGTCCAAAACCAAAGATTGATCGACTTCCTTACCGCAACGTCTTCACAATAGAATTCCTAATGGGACTAAAATGACGAACCCGCTTTGAAAATGACGACTTCATCGCCAAGGCGGGAGATTCATTTCCTAAGGAGTTTTAAAAGCTCCTGACCACGCCAAATGCCTTGAGTTGTGCCGAGGCGGTGCCCCTCGATGGTTTGGAAGAAATCAAAAGCGAAAATATCGATATCAAAGACCAGAATTCGATTAAATTTTAAATTTTACAAGAATTTTATGAAAGTTTTGTCGAAAACCGGCGATTGCCCGTTTTCCGACACGATACGGCCGGGCTGCATGCTAGACGGCGCCCCGGCGCAATTACCGTAGCCGGGGAACCAGGCGGGCCAGCACACGACGTTTTTCATTTTCGCATTTATTTTTCGGCGTTTTTCTCCTAAAATTTTGCTTCTCTTTTACTTTTAATTTCCGTATCGTCCTTTTTCTTTTGCTTCTCTCTGCTTTTTCACTTGGCCTATTGCCTGCAATCAAATTGTGACGCTTAATTTTTTTGTTTCGGTTTACCTCTCTTTTTCTTAGCTTGTCTCGGCTTTTCTAGTTGTCTTTGGTCTTTGAAAATCAACTTAAATCAATTTAGATTTTCTCAGTTTCTTTATTCCGTATTCCCTGGCGGCCTTTTACAGTTCCTGCTTTAATCTTTCCTTTTCAGGAACCAGGATGTCTGGCTGGGACTCGTACATCAGCACGCTGACCACCGCCTCCCCGCACATCGAGCGCGCCGCCATCGTCGGCGTCGACGGATCGGTTTGGGCGAGGACCGAGGGCGACAAACAATTTGCGGTGAGCTTGTTTTGCTTTGGCTTTTTTACTTTTGATTTTAGGCCACCGAAGCCGAGCTCAAGTCGCTGGTGACCGGCTTCAACACCCCGGACCAAGTGCCAGCCCGCGGCGCCGACCTCGAGCAGATCCACTACGTCGTCCCCCGGGCTGATGACACCGTGATCTTCGGGAAGAAGGACAAGACCGGCTTCTTTGCCGCCAAGTCACAGCAAGGTAATGGTTTGAACTTTTCTTGTTTCGGGTGAAAATGTGGCGAGTGGATCGGAAGCTTGACGCGTTTGGTGAAAGGGAAGCGTTTCGCTACCGGTATCAGTGCGCCACGATCCGGTGTAGCGTACCTACTATTATCGTCGCTCTTCGGCCTAAGGTTTGGCACTCTGAACTGGCCTTTTTGGATGAAAATGGACCTGTGTTATTCTTTTTCGGGTTCGGCGAAAAAAACCAAATAGTCTGGTGGAAGAAGCACCAATCAATCCGTTTTTCTTGACAATTGGACAGCAAAACGAGCTCGTTGTTGTCCAGTGGCTGTTCGTAACCAATTTCTGTTTTTCAGCGGTCCTCATCGCAATCTACAAGGGCGACTCGGCTGAAGGCACGGAGGTCCGCTCGGCCGTCGAGAAGCTGTCGCAGTACCTGGCCAGCACCGGCTACTGAGGCCGCCGTCGCGTCGAACAATTCGAAGACAAGCCAACGCCCCGCCCCCTCGCAAATTAATTCTTTCTTTAACCACCCTGTTCATTCACTTATGCCACCCCGGTTGCCCCTTGTACAATCCCCACCAGCCGGTGAATTTCCATTTTTAACTTGTGCTGTGAATATGGCTCTTGTGTGGTGATAAATCTTAATTACAGAAACTGATTCGGTGCACATTGACACGGGGACAATTGCGTTTGGATCGTTCTATTTTGGTGGTTGTCGTTGCGCAGCTCCACAGCATTCCGCCCTTTACCAGTTGTGTTCGTTTGACAGGGACAGGATGGCAGGCAACAGGGGAAGGGAGAATCTGCGCCTGGCCCCCCCCTTTCTCTTCCCCCTGCCCTATAGCCTAGTCTCACTTTTTCGCCGCCTATTCCGCGCCCTACCCCTCCCCTCTGTGTCTGCACCCCGCCGTCTGGCGCACTATCTCGGTTAGTAAAGCGCCCGCGGGCGCGCCCCAATCGCCTTGTAACGGCGTATGACGGGTTCTTTAATGCTTTATTATTTAAAAAGGGCACACATCGCTTTGTCGATGCTGTACCCTATACTTAATGTAGATCTTCACGTTCCCTGAGAAATTGGTTGTATTGCGCACCTGAAATATGTTTTTTTTTTGCTTTCTTGGCTTTAGCTTCGTTTGGAACTTACAGATACGTTCGAATGCGCGATATATGGCCCCTAAAAGTGTAGCTAATTACCTAATTTCCTTTATAAACTTCGTAATTCGCACTTACTTTCTTACCGCTTCCTGAAAACTTGCTCTGATTTGCTTCTTGCCGACTTACTTTGCAACTCCGCCCCAGAGATACCGGAAACGTCGCGCTTCCCATTTGCAATGATGACCATGATCGTCTGAAAGGTTGGCTTATATAAATCGAGAATCTATAAATCTAAATCTAAAGTATGTTTAAAGTTTTTTGAAGGGACTGGTTGCGTAGCAAAACTTTACCTTCTTTACCTGCGCCATGGCGCTTCAAAGTATCGTATTCTACATTCGACGACCATAACCAAGCGAACCTAGTAACGTATTTGTTAATTTATATATGTTTTGAACATAAATAAGTGCATAATCCAGGAACTTAGCCGTTTTTTCGCAGAATTGAAAGGTGTTCACCATTCAAATGCGCCCGCGGGCGCGCCCCTGGGAGGATGACAAAAGCGCCAAAGCAAAAGCGCCAACGACAAAAGCGCCCATGCAGAAGCGCCAAACGAAAAGCGCCCAACGCCAGAAAGCGCCCAATGCCAAAAAGCGCCCAATGCCAGAAAGCGCCCAATGCCAGAAAGCGCTCTATGGGAATTGGGCCGCCGTTTCGGCGTGTTACGCCCGGCTCCAATACACGTACGCACCCCGAAGGGATCTTGCTTCCCATTATCACGGGATCGTACTGTTCGTCGTCTTTCCGCTTCAAGTATTTTGCTCAAACTAAACGTTTATCTCATGAAATTTTCGGCGGTGAAAAGTAGGAAAAGTATTGGGAATCACGGAAATCAATATTTAACACAATGAGAGGAGATTAATGGGCCAAGGAAAGGCTGCGGGGGAGAAATCGAAAATTCTGCTCAATTTTAACATGTCAATCTCACCAATTGCGATGGGAAATGTAATGGGAGAGGGATTGGAGGTGGCGACAGGGTGATTGATTTTGGGCGCCATTGGTGATGGCCAGCCTACGCTTTTCCATAAAGCATTTGTGCTTGCGAGATTGGGGGAAGCATTGATCGAGGGTAAGATTTTTCGAGTCGGCCAGCCGTTGCTTTTCCTCGTAGCTCTTCACCATACTCAGCAACTCCATCGCGACGCGCTGAGCCGACGCCGGCTTCGGCAATCGCTAAAAATGGAATGGAAAGAGCTCAAAATTGATAGTACCCTCAGGCCTGCATTGAATCCCTCTATCGTCGAATTTCCCAATTGCCAGTCATGGAAAATCCGGGCATGAAGGCTCCAAGATTCAATGTCGAAAGTGGGGTCGTCTCGGATTCGGGGATCAGTCGGGTCTGGGGTACCCAAGAAATTCTTCTCGTAGTAGGTATAAAGTTCTAAAGCAGTTTCGGGAATGGTCTGAATAAATACCTATTAAAGACGCATGGTATTTCGGAGGAACACGGCAGAACGCTTCAGCACGTAGCTCCTCAAAGTAACGAATCACATCAGCTGGCAGGATGAACGCTAGTAGCAGTAGCCCGTGAACGTAGAGCTTGAGGGTCGGGCGCTTCAGCAGGTCGGTCAGGTCATACTTCTAGATATGGTGCTCTTATTTAGTGATCACAAAAAGACGAACCTTAATCTTGGTGATCATCAATTGGAAGAAATGAAAACCACAGTACATATACAAGGTGGCCGGGCCGCCGAAGCCCTCTTCGTATCCGCGCTTCAATGCTTTTTCCATGTCTAAATCGATGATCAGGATGGTAAAAAATGCTTACCAGACACCAAGAAATCGGGCGCTCTGAACCCCATATATTGCGATAGATGATCAAAGACCCTTCGATAGCTCCTGGTCTCTTTACTTGTCAGAAAGGCAAACGCCGCGGGCACGAAAAGATGAAATTTCTAAAAAAAAACAATAATGCGGCTTATCAAACCGATACCTGGACCCCGATGATGAGCACCTGCTGAAAATCGTCTGGGGCACACGCAAAAGTCCCATCGACGCTCCATGTCTCTTCCTAATATTAACCATTGCTTATTGATAAAAGTAGACCTACTGTTTGCAATAACTCTTGTCCCCAATCGGTGAAGAATAGCTTAAAGCCCTCCGGATCTGGCGCCGCAAACTGATTACAGTTATCGTGGCGAAGGAAAGTCTGGTCTGAAACAGAAAGAAAGATCGGTGACGGTTGAAAAAAGATTCGTACCAAAAAGATTGACATCTATGTCCGCAGGCCATTTTCTCATTCCGGGGACCTCCACTTGGCGTTGCAGCGCTCTGGTCGTGGCCTTCGGGTCCAGATGGCCTTTCAGGTGTGCCGGGGCTTTGAGGATCCTTTGGTTCAATATCCACGTTGTTGCTAGCCCATTTAGCCGATCGTTTTTCGCCTCCTTCCGGACCATTCTTAACTGAAGAAACTACACATTAGCCGAGTTAATTACCTCAGCTTGATGGCTGACTGGCGGGTGGTTGTGGCTGCTCCCCTCTACTTCAAGCACAGCGCCGTCGGTGTTTAAATTTTTGCCCCGGCCGCGGCACCTCTTCATTGGACATCTAAACAAAAATATTGCTGTTTAATCACCGAACCCACCTATAAAAGGTGTCTCCTGCAAGGTTCGTCCTGGAAATGCGGTACTCAAAGCCGGCCGCATCGTAGTATCGCGGCAGACCTTTTTGCGACCGCACGGTGTTCGAAACACGTCTAAATTTGATTTGAGAAAGCGATATTCGCCAACCTGACTGGCCCTGCAGGAGTTAATTGCGACATTTGAAGTCGTTCAGGGGTTCGAAGCTGCGGGCCTGAAATGGGTAAATGTATGAAAAGCAAAGTTAAATTAGATATAGAAATAGAACAGCAACAAATACTATCATTATACGATTATATAATAACATACGGGATCGGCCTTTTTCAAAGAGCGATCCCGTGATAATGGGAAGCAAGATCCCTTCGGGGTGCGTACGTGTATTGGAGCCGGGCGTAACACGCCGAAACGGCGGCCCAATTCCCATAGAGCGCTTCTGGCATGGGCGCTTCTGGCATTGGGCGCTTTGGCATTGGGCGCTTTCTGGCGTTGGGCGCTTTTCGTTTGGCGCTTCTGCATGGGCGCTTTTGTCGTTGGCGCTTTTGCTTTGGCGCTTTTGTCATCCTCCCGCGCCCCTAGTTGCGCCCATGGGCGCTTTTTGCGCCCGGGGCGGTTTTGCGCCCTTTTGCAAAAATTGCGCCCGGGGCGCAAAGGGGTCCAGTTCGGGCGCGCTCGCGGGCGCTTTGCTAACCGAGATCCGCCAGCCTACTCACGAACACCGCGGAATCATGTGGCTCTGCTCATTTCGATGGTTGTGGGAAACTTCGAAGCGGCTAAACTGGAGATTCTTTTCCTGGATTTATTGCGGTAGATTTCCTGGCCTTCTTGCCCGCGCGGAACCTCCGGTTTTAGCTGCCTTGCCGTTTTTGCGTCTGCGCGAAGTCTATCTTCTTTTTTGGCGATATTCTACGCTTTCCGGATCGCATTTCTTTCGATTGCTGCTCTCTTTTTCAGTGCTCTTTCAAACCCCTTTTACAGCTTCCTGCAGCCGCTACAGACGTGCCGGGATGGCCTGGCCACCGCCGCAACAGGTTCGGCGCATTTCCTTGATGCGTATATACTTTTTTTCAGCCCTCCTACGTGTCGCAACCCTCGATGTCGACGCCGTACTCTCAAGCCCCGGCATATCAGCAGGTATCATTGACTTTCCAGTGCGTTTATCGTCAATTTTAGATGCCTTCTTCCAACGGCATGCCGGCGGCGAGCAGTTCTCGATATGCGCCCGTTCCACAATACGCTGCTCAGCCTCAATACGCGCAACCAGCAGCGGCCCCAAATTACGGCAAGCTTTTATTGTGGTTTTTTACCTTAGTTTAGGTAACTCTTACCAGCCGCCAAATCCGTCGGCCTATTCTCCGAATAGCAGTTATCACCAGCAGCAGCAGGTATGTTGTAATTTTGCGTTTAATCTCAAATTTCCAGGCTCAATACCCTCCACAACAGCAGCCAATGGTGTCGCAGCAACAGGTGTCTATTTTAACGGATTTTGTAACGTTCTATTCGAGGTTCAACGCCCTCCACAGCTACCGGGAGTACCGCAGCAACACGTTCAATATGCGCCACAGCAGCCAACGGTGTCGCAGCAGCAGGTAACTTATTGAAGGCGTTTTTAAACCTTTTAATTTCAGGCTCAATACCCTCAACCGCCGGTGGCGCCGCAGCAGCAGGTATTTGTTTTTTAACGCCCCCGTAATTGTCTAATTCCAGGCTCAGTACGCTCCACAACAACCCGCAGCGCCACAGCAACAGGTATCCTTTTGCAGAATTTTTAACGCTTTCAATTCTAGGCCCAACGCCCTCCTCAGCCACCAGCGGCACCGCAGCAACAAGTTCAATACCCTCCCCAGCAAGTGTCGCAGCAACAGGTATATAATTTCAGACGTTTCTTACTTTATAATATTAGACACAATACGCCCCACAACAGCCGGTAGCACAGCAGCAACAGGTACACTTGCATCTTTTGCTATTTTTTTCTGATTTTTAGTCTCAACAGCCACCCGCAGCACCGCAACAACAGGTTCAATACCCTCAACAGCAGCCAGCGGTATCTAATTTTTCATATGCTTTAAATTCCTAAATTCTAGGCCCAGTACACTTCGCAGCCGACGGCAATGCCCCAGCAATACCCTTCTCAACCTGCGCCCACGCCTCAGCAATATGCCAATCAACCTGCCCAAATGCCACAACAATATCAAAGCCAACAGCCTGCCCAAATGCCCTATCAACAGTCCTACATGGCGCCGGCGATGACCGCTCAGGTTTGTTTTACCTTCAAACTTCTTATAATTGATTTTTATTCAGGCGGCGCCCTCTCAGCCACTCCCTCCACCTACTGCCGGCTGGAATGACCCGCCCGCGCTCGCCCAAAAAGCTCAAGCCAAGCCGACGCCACCACAGAATTTTATGCAGGTACTTTTGGCTGGGATTCTAGAAATAAAGGGTTTTTAGTTCCATTGGCACACCACGCAGCCGGCCGCACAACCCTCTGCCGCTCCTCCGCCAGCCCAGAGCCCCGGGTCGCAGCTTTCCCCCGTCTCTCAAGCCTCTGGACCTGTCGAGCCGGAAGTGCCGGTTCGTTTCTAACGTTTCTTACATAGCGTAACTGAAAAAAACGGCCGGTTCGTTGGGGGCGAGGAAACTTTTTTTGTGCATTTTTGGCGAAAATTCAACATTTTCCAATTTTAGCATTTGAAAATGAATTTTTACTAAAGCATGGCTAGAAGTGCTATACAAATTTTCTAAAAAACATTCCGCTGCTGTAGGAAATATGCGTTTTCTCCCCGGTTAACGAAGCAGAACGGAAAAGTTACCGATTTTGTGCTTTTGTCAATTCGCGCCTTTTTTCGGCGTTTACGTCGCCTTTTCTAAGCCATTTCTTCCAGGCTGCCCTCTACCTAAACGCTGAAGATCAGGCGATCGTCGATCTGTTCCTCCAAACGGCCGATGGAGTATTTGCCTGCACCAAGCATCCGGTTAGCAATTTTCTACCCCATTTTCAACACATTTTAGGGGATAGTTAGCAAGGTCGAGGACCTGAAACGACGTCTCCACCGTGATATCGCCGAACGGCTGGGCCGGCAGCAGGTATCAATTCTTTTTCTTTTTCTTTTTCTTTTTAATTCTTTTAAAAATAAATCATTTTAAGATTGGTCCCGTGACGAAATCTCTTCTGCGAGGCTGCGGTGAAGCGGCGCTGAAGGGCGACTACCGCCTGGCCCTCCAAATTTCCCAACAAATGGTGACGAATGGGCACGATTTTGTGGAGGTAAATATTTATAAACTGTTTAAAGAAAAAGTTCTTTGATTCTGCAAAAGAACCACATTTATTTTTTATCGGAATAGCATTTAATGAAAAGTAGAAATTATTTTCATTTTTTCAGGTATCGGCCTTCTACCCGTCCCTGAAGTCGTTGATATCGCAAGCCCAGTCCGCATGGAAATACCAGTGATATGCCAAAGATCAAGCTCCCCATTTTTTGATGTGCTTTCCTGTCTTGTGCTGTGTTTTTCTTGTGGCTTTACGGTTCGACTGTCAACCTGTATCCATTCGTAGCCCTCCTACCCCGCGGCCAGCCCGTCTGAATCTCGGTGTATTCCCAAAGATTGGAGAGCCCGATTTGTCGAATAAACTTTTTGCTCTTAAGCGGTGTAATTTGAAGCCATTGCGCGTATTTTAGACGCTATATTACTAAATTTCCAGGCGCACTTCGCGCTCTTGGGCATTACCGGTGTGGAACGGTTTTCGCAGAATCCGATTTTTAAATACAAAAGAGAAATTGTTTCTAGACTGCTTTATATGATTCCTCACGTAACGGCCTTGCGAATTTTGATCAAAACCTACAAAAAGGTTATTCTTCGACCAAAAAGGCCGATTTTCGATCAAAGTTTCGACTTTTTTAAAGTTTTTAGATAATTATTCTGGTGAAATATAGTTTTATTTTACTAAAAACACTAATAAAATACTTCCTCACTAGTTTTCTAGACTAATACAAAAATTCTCTCCCACCGATGCTGCAAAAGAACCGTATATACGCAAAAGCGAGTATAATTGATACGGTATCACCAATTCCATCGTTTTTTCTTTTGTTTTCCGAGTTTAGCGCTCTTTCTGATTATATTTTCCTTTCCAGGATGGACAGCTTCGAGGACATTGAGCAGCAACTCCTCGGCCCCGGCGGCTTCTCGGCGTTGACGATCAATTCGGACGACGTGGCCGGCGCCCTTCGAGACAAGCAGAAAGCCGCGGTTCCAGGCATGATATTAAAGTCGCCACGCTCCACCATCCTGCTCGACATCAAGCCGTTGGAAGCGGAAACGGATCTCGTGCAATTGGAGCGGTTGATGCGCGGCGAATTCATGATCGGACTGAGCTGGGGCCCGAGCAAACTCGTCCCGATCGCCTACGGCCTCCAGAAGTTGCGCATTATCGCCTGCGTGGAGGATGAAGTCGTCTCCGTCGATGCCCTCATCGAACAGCTCGAAGCCCACGACCAATACGTGCAATCTGTCGATATTGTCGCTTTCACCGGTTGTTGAATTTAGTCTATCGGTCTATCCATTCCTCCTATGTCATCTGTGCCTTTCCGTGTATTCCTCCCGGTTATGAATTCTCACTTTTTCACACGGGTTTCTAAGTTCGAATAAAATTGCAAGACCCTCGAATCCTTACTGCAAAAAAAGCGAAAAATGCACCAATCGTTGTCGTTGGAGGATCGTACCCTGACGCAGATTTTCGGATTTCTGAGAAAAACTAAAATTTTTATTTTAAAGGATTTACGATAAAACTAGACAAAACTAGAATTTTAAACAGTTTTCACTAAAAATAGTCGGTATTTTACGAGTTAGCTATAGAAAATGATCCAAGACTAGCTGTTAAGGAATTTCCGTTTCAAAATACCAGTAAAACCATAGTAAACTGAATTTTCAAATATGTACGATAGAAAATATTCAAAACTAGATTTTAACTAGAAAGACGAAGAGATAGAAAAAGGTAATTAGGTTTTAGAAGAATTGAATTCCAATAAAGAATAAGAGACAATAATGACATTTTTCTTTTCCGACCCCGTTCAGAATCAGTTTTCACACGTGTTTCTGAGTTCCAAATAAAATTGAAAACGTTTATAGGGTTAGAAAATGGATAGAGATCGGAACGTAGAATCGTCACACACAACAAGCATCTCCTAAAATCGGGGGAAGAAATATAATAGAAATAGCTCGAGAAGGCGATGAAAGAAAAATGGAATGACACGTCATATTGAGATCACAGAGTTATTAGGGAAATCGGAAACAACATTTTCGGGTCGAGGGGCTTTGGTAGATTACGGCGCTTCGGTGGCCCACTGGAAGAAATTGCATCGGTCGGGGGCCGTGGAGTCTTTTGGGCACGAGTAGAATCTGGAGGAAAATTTTAGGAGTGAATAAAGCGCTTACTTTCTCCCGGTATTCGGCCCCTCCTTGACGACGGTGCGCATCACCGACGCGAGGTGGCACTTGCATTTCGGCGCGTTCGTCCCGTCACCCTGGAAAATTTTAAAATTGGGTGCTTTTGCAATATCGGGGTAATTTATTCCTATTGGGAAAGATAAAAAAAATTTTAACAAAAATTAACTATATTTTGCGCGGAAAACAGCATAAAAATGATAGATAGGTGGCGTAAAAATCGTCATTTTGGTCGAAAATGGATATTTTGTATTTTTAGTAAAAAAAATCGTAAAATTCACACCTGTAGAAATAGTAAAAAACGTGTTAGAATCCCATTTTAGCCTATATTGGAAAAGTAACAAAATATAACTTTTAACGTACCGATCTCCTTCCACCTCCCGCTCCTCCTGCAGCAGCCGCTCCCCTTCCTCGTCCTCTGCCCCTCGTCGCTGGCGCTTGATTCCCGAGCACTTGCATGTGCTGCGGTACCTAAATTAATAATTTAAACCAGGCAAGCTAGCAGGGATTCTTTAGGAATCTCGACAAAATTTACCGAAATATTTTCATCATTGGCCGGCCGTTTTCGACCGGTGCCTCGTCCTCTCGTGGCTGCAGCCGTAGATGCTCCTCTTGTTCCTCTCGTCGCGGCTGCTCCTCCTCTTGTCGCTCCAGCAGCTGCTGCTCCTCCTCTAGCCGCAGCTCCGGCTCCTCCTCCCCCTCCTCCCGGCGGTGGCCTCGGCGGTCCCATCCCGCCAGCCGCTCCATTTTGCGGCGGTCGTCGCTGGTTCGCGTCCGTGTATCTAAAAATAAAAATTGGAAAAACTTTTAAATCTAAAATCAAATAATAAATATTAAAATTTACAATTTTTATTAATTTTATTAATTAAGATTTTAAATTCAAAAACCTCATAAAAGCGGCGGTCAAGCTGTTGATCTTGTCCTCGGCAATGCGGAAAATTCGTCGATATCTGTCCAGCTGCTCTTTCAACACCTAAAAAACAATTTAACGCGTTTCAACTTACAAAAACTAATTTAAAAATTAAAAGAGCTCTTTTGCATTAGGGGGGTGGCAACTTTTTTCTACAAGTCAAGAAAATGTCTAGTTTGTTGTAGTATCCGTTTTTGTATTTTGCAATTTTTTACGTTTAAGAATCGTAAAAAAATGTGTAGAAACACTTCCTCTATTCATATTTGAAAAACCGGACCCTTAAAAAAATTGCCCCCCCCTCCCCCCGATAATGCGAAAGAACCTAAAAATCTACAAATCTCGTTAAAATTTCAAAACCTCGTCCTTATTCCGTGTGCCCTCGCAAATCTTCTCCAGCTGTTTCTCCAGATTTGCGCGCATCTGCGGCTTCGACATTGCGAATCCTAAAAAAACGATAATTTTGAAGTTTTTCCCTAAATTTTACCCATAGCATCGTAGCCATCAACCAGCGAGAGACCGAGAAATCCGGGGACGAAGTGATTGTTGTTGTCCAGACCCACGTAGCTCCGTTGCTAAAAAAAATCAAAAATTGGAAGGCTGGCAGGGATTTTTGAGAAAATGAGCTGCCGGCAAGCTAACCGAATTTTAGGGAAATTGAGCTGCGGGCCAGATAGCCGCAATTTTTTCGGAAATTGAGCCAGAAAGCCAGCAAAAATTCTTTGGGGAATTTGAGCTGCCGGCAAGCTAGCAGGGCTTATATGGGAATTCAGAAATCTATCTAAAAACTGAAAAAGGCTCAAAGCTAATTTAACTATTTAACAACTTCTAAAAATTGCCGATTTTATTAGAACATCTATATTTTTTGTTTTTTTTTTAAGCAAAAATTTGAACGTTTGTATGTCTATCGAAGATAAATTACGCTTAATATACCTTAATCTTCTCGATATGTTCAGCGTGCGTGGCGTCGGTGCCAATTCCGTATTTATCCATCAGCGTGATCAGATCGGCTTCAGTCAAAAGGGGCGGGGGTTCCGTTTTCGACTCGATCATCCGCACCTGATGGTCGGTGAACGTCTCCCCGAGCTCGTACCTAAAAACAATGTCGGTTCTTTCGCATTATCGGGGGAACAAATTCTTTTATTAGGATCCATTTTTTAAATATAAATAGGGGAATTGTTTCTAAGCTGTTTATTACTATTCCTAAATGTAAAAACCTTCAAAAAAATTTTTATTCGGAAGAAAAAAAATAGATTTATACACCAAAAATGGTTATTTTTGACCAGAATAAAAACCAAAAACCCAACAAAAATACGGTACCTTCCAACACTTTTGTCGCTCCATTTCTCGTAGGGATAGACCTCCAAATAGCCCGGATCTTCCACCATAAGGCCCGTGGCTGTGAAGCTTTCGCCGCCTAGTCGAATCTGCAAAAAATGGATTTTTGCCAATTTCAGGGTTTCCCCACGCATTTCAAACCCGAAAACTTACCGTAACCTTGGTCTCCTGGCCCTTGGCATCCTTGCTGCAACAGGCGAGAAAATGACGGGTGACCAGCTCGTAGACGCGCCAATCGTTGTCGTTCGAGAATTGGTCCCTTAAAATGGTTTTTAGGATTTCCGATAAAAGGTTCTTTAGGATTTCCGGGGGGGGAAAGTATTTCCGGGGGGAACCAAAATTTTTCGGACCAAGCCTAAATTTTTTTCTAAATAGCGCATGCGTTTCTAAATGGTTTTTTAACTATTCCTGACAAGGGAACCACCTAAGGTCAAGGTGGCGTTTCGTTATGGGACCCAGCCTATTTTGTGCAGAATTTTTTGCTGATTTCGAATCCGCTTTTAATTTTTGCTAAACAGCCCAATTTAAAAAGTTATAGCGTTTCAAAGTTCCATTTTTTCCCAAATTTTTGAACTTCAAAGTCATTTATCTTGCCTTTCCCGTCTGATTCCTCAAAAACGAATATCGCCATCGTATTCAGAAAAATTTTTAAATTGGGCTATTTAGCAAAAATTGAAAGCGGGTACGGAATCAGCAAAAAATTCTACACAAAATAGGCTGGGTCCCATAACGAAACGCCACCTTGACCTTAGGTGGTTCCCTTGTGAGCATAAAAACTACCCACATTTTAATTAAAAAATTTAATTTTAGGTGAAAAATCCTATAGAACCTTTAGGATTAGCGGGGAAAGACCCAAAATGACCAATTTTCGACTTTTTCAAACATTTTTCTAACTTTTTTGAAAGGTTTTTCTACTTTAAATATAGTTAAAATTTACTAAAAACAATGTGAAAACACTTTATATTTGATTACTAGGTCAACCGGGAAAACCAGGAAAAAATTTGGTTTCCACCCCCCGGAAATCCTAAAGAACCCGATAAAATAATAAACATTAGGATTTTCGATAAAAAATAAGCTAAATTAGATTTTAAAGCTTCTGCCATAGAAAAACAATCCAACAATATTTTAAGGAAATTCGCGTAAAAACAAACAAAAATTAAGAGGACTTTCTGACAAAATAATAAAAATTAGGTTTGCACGAATTTCCTAAAGAAAATATCCAAAATTCCACCTTAAAGAATTTTCTATCGAAAATGGTCAAATCTACATTTCAAAGCTACGACGCTAAAAACAAGCGAAAAATTAGATTTTCACGAAATCCCTATAGAAACTAACCAAAAGACAGATAGACAAAAATTAAATACGGTACCTCGTGGCAAATTTGAGTGGATGAATGGGGGGATGGGCCTCGTCACTTTTCGATCCATTCCTCGGCTTTGCGCCACCCTCGTCGACAATCTTCTGCGCGAATGCTCCCCAAGCCGCGTGATCCACCTAAATCAATAGATTACACGATGAAACTGTCAAATTGACTCACGTGCATTTGCACCAAGCTCGTCAGCCCCATGTTCTGCGGGAATTTGTTCGTCTCGGTCCTGGAAAATGGGGTGTTTTAGAGTTTTCTTGACGTGGCAGGCTAGCAGAGTTTTTTTTGAGGAAAACTTGTCAAACTTCTTCGGAAAAATGGAATTTTTGTGTCGAAATTTCCTCCTATGCTGAAAAGTTGAGCGGGCAGGCTAGCATAGAGTCTACGAGAAAATCAAACAAATTTTTTTACCTCGGATACGAGATGAATCCCTTGCTGTAGAGACCCTCGGCCACCTGCATGGCCGTCTTGGCGCTGATGTGCAGCTTCCGGACGGCCAGCTTCTCGAATTCCACCTGAACCGAAAATTTCCAAAACCTTAACCAAAACTACCGTATCCAGTCCGGCGGGTCTCCACTTGTTTTTCGGCCGCTTGATCAGATTCTCGACCTTGGCCTGGTTGGCGCCCTGCACATCTTCGCATAGCAACTGAAAACCGTGGATTATAGCGATTTTTGGTAAAATCCAACCTGTACGATGCCGCGGTCGAAGAGGCGTATCCGGTCCCAGATGAATTCCGTCTGAAAAATACGTTTTAAAACTATTTGCACGCCTCAAAATTTGTTAATAGTATCTGATCGGAATTCTATTTTCCGGTACAGGCCACAAAAATTATATTTCATTTTATTTCTGGTTTTTTTCATGGTCTTTTTATCAGTACATTTTTGACGAAAAATCAAACATTTTCCAGCGTTTTTCTACCTTTGTATGAGCTTTCTAGACTAAAAATCGGCGTAAAAAGCTATTTAAATGGTGTGAAATTCAATATAGGCTAAAATTCAGCCCGCGCCCCCTCCCCGCTAACAGCCCAGTACCCCCAAAACTCGCCTTGACTCCATTCTTCAAATGATCGACTTGCAACTTCCAAAATGGCTCGGTGATGAATTCTTGAATGGCCTTGTACCGCTCCACCACAAAACCCAGCGTCGGGAATTGGCAGCTGCCATACGAAATTACCTAAAAAAAATTCAATTTTCCTTAAAATTTTATCTTACTTGTCGATTCTCGCCGCCAAAAAGTGCGGCGAAATGGCGTTGAAAGTGGAGCGTTTGTAGGCGCGTGAAAGCGCTGCCTAAAACGCAAATAAAAAAGTAAAGAAGGCTACAGACCTATCCGCAAATCGAGCTCCGAGCGGCAATTGACGGCCTCGACGATGTTGTTGTCGAGTCGTTGCAATGTTCGTATTGCTCGGTTGATAGACGCGAAGGTGACTTCGGAAAATCTGAAAAATGGGTTGAAAAAGCGATGACTATTATTTCAGCGGAAAAAAACGAGAAATACCATTTTAGGGGCCAAAACTCATTGGAAATCGAATCTTGGCGGAAAAAAAATCGATAAAGACAATTTCAGAAGCGAAAAATCGATGAATATAATTTTAGCGGAAAATACTGTCTTTTCTGAGCTTTTCCGAAACTTCTACACACGAGACTACGTAGAGAATCGTGGGTTAAAACGGGAAATACGATTTTAGAGCGAAACACCTCCAGATCACAATTTCAGAGGAAAAAAATCTAAAAACACTATTTTATATGGAAAACTGTGTTTCCCAAGCTTTCCGCTGTCGCGCGATCATGAAATTTTCACAAAATAGCTAAAAATCTCTAAAAACGCACTTTGCCCTATAAACATTCATCCTTGGGTTCGACTTCAAGCACACGGTCTTCACCTCGTCCCCAATATTCTCCCCCTCACGATCGCAATCCGTCCAGATCACCAGCGTTGACGCGTTTCGGGCCTCGTTTCTATAAAAAAAGTAATTTTTACGGTATGCTACCCCTTACGCTACATTCTGGGCGACGGGCTGCATGTCCTTGGAGACGAAACGAATCACCGGCGCATCAAAAAGCCGTTCCATCTGAAACCAGAAAATTATAAGCATGTAAAACTTTTGATTTACCGTCGTCCCGTGCCAATCCTTCATCTCGGGCCCAAAATCCAGGCTCATCAGATGGCCGCTGACTGACGTGACGGCAATCTGAAATTTGGAAGATTTAGAAAGGCCAAAATCCCTTTTTAAAACCTATTTTCAGAACCAATTAGTCCCAAAAACCTTTCAAACTACCCACAATCGTCTGTTGGCCCTGGAAATCCATGGTGAACGAGTAGATCTTGTTGTATTTTGACGGGCCATCGCGTCGTTGGGCGTTTCCTGAAAATACAGATATTTAAAATAATATAAAATAATAATAAAAGATATATAAAACAATTTTTCGCGTAATTTTCTCAAATTTCTGACCTTTCGAAAGGAGGGCGGCGATCCCCTTGGCTACATCGTTCTTCTCGGCCACGAACAAGGCGCGGTGCATGAAGCGGCGGAAGATGAGCAGGCGTATTCCGGCCAGAGTTTGGTCTGAAAAACAGTGATCTCGTTGAGGCGTCAAAACAAAGCGATTTCGTGAGGTTTTAAGCAAATAGAAATATCATAAAATATATAAAATTTTGAAATAAGCCTGTTGGTACAATTTTAAACCATTATTTTTCATTTCTAAAACCCAGTCCTGCTTGAAAAGTTAAAAACCTCAAATTTCTCTTTGAAAACGCCGATTATCCCATGGAATACCAGTGTGCGCGCTGATCGCAGAATGTCCCCTTGGGAAATTTGTTGAGAGTAGCGATTTGTACCGCTAATTTGATGAATTCGTTCAAAACTTCAATAAAAAATAAATTAGGGCTTCTCTAAAATGCCGTCGAAAAAAATCAAACCGTTTCCAAAATATCTTCAACGATTTATTAAGTCAACTGAAGTCAAGGCGAAATCTTTGGACAAAGTAACAAAGTGAAAGGCGCTTTCGGAAGCAATGCTGTTGAAGGATAAACATCGAAATCAATAACAATAAATTCGGGGGGGACTTCATGCATTTGAAAAGATCGGGAATCGGGCGAACGAGATCAAAAAATTATTCGGCGCATGCCCTTGAGAGGGCTTTATTGAAGTAAGGATAGGGCGGGTTCAGACGGCCTTTTGATAGGAGTAGCACGGGTCTGCGGAAGCTTTGTAGTTCCTGAAAATATGGCATCATTTAGGATTGTAAGCCCTTCTGAACCCAACGCTTTTGTTACGAGTGTTTTTTCTAAACGGACCTCTCAAAGATGGCGATTAGTCGATCGGTGTTCTGCTCGGCGATTCCCAACCATCGTCGATACGCCGCCAGTTGCTCCTTGAGTACCTATTCGAACGTTTTAAGAAACTCCAAAAGTCTACCTGATCCTTGGTCTTCGTGCCGGCGGCAATCTTCATGATCTCCTTCTTTAGATGGGCACGCATTCCTGGATTAGCCAGAGGAAGTCCTGATTTTCAGAGTTCAGAGTTGTTTTAGAGCTTTTTACCTATGGCATTGTACCATTCAATCAAGGTGATTCCCAAATGGGTCGGAACCAAACACTTGTTCTCATCCAGGATCACATATTTGCGCCTCTAAACAAAAATACATTTATTTTTCGTCTGAAATACCTGGATCGCTTTGGAATGTCTGGAATTTTCTTGGGATCGGATATGATTGCCGTACACCGTTCCGATTCCATTCTCATCCATCTGATCGATCAAAGCAGCTTCAGTCAACAAGGGCGGAGGTTCAGTTTTCGGCTCGAACATTCGGATCTGATGGTCGGTGATAGTCTCGCCGTGATCGTACCTAGACGGGCATTAGAAAAGACAAAAACTTTACTTTCCGACACTTTTCTCGATCGGCTTGTCGTATGGGCAGATCTCCAAATAGCCCGGTTCTTCAATCTGCAGGCTCGTCGCCGTGAAACTCTCGCCGCCAAGCCGAATCTAAAATTTGCAAATAACCTGCATGTTCTAAAATATACATCCTACCGTCACTTTGGTCTCTTCTCCACGCGCATCGCTGCTGAGAGACGCCAACGTATGGCGGACGATCAGCTGAAAAACACTCCAGCCCAAATCGTCCTTTTTCAAGAACTGGCCCCTAAAAATTAAACAATTTTATTGTTTTTTTTGCACTTCGATAAGGTCATTTTCAAGCCACCGACCTTGTAGCGTATCTGACCGGATAAATTGGACGCTCAGGACCAATGGATTTGTCGCCATCATTCGCGGCAGGCCCTCCCGGCTGTTCCAATATTTTCTTCGCGTAACGGCCTACTTCCGAATCCGGATCTTCTGTCTAAAAGGGAAGGGTGGCTTGAATCAAATATACTGAACACGTACAAATTTTTCCACGAGTTCCCGAAGGAAAATATCGGACTTGGAGTCGGGAAAACGATTCGCCGCGGTTCTAAAAATTGAATCGAAAGGCGAACATCATTGCCACCTGGGAAATGAGATGAGCCCCCGATCGTAAAGCCTGGTGGCCACGCCCAGAGCCGTAGAGGGAATGATGTCCAGTTGTTGCGCAGCCAATTTCAGAAATTCCGTCTAAAGACCCTGTATGAACTTTAGTGGTATACCGTATTCAGTGGGAGCGGTCTCGGCAGTACAATCTGCGTAGTGGCGCTTTCAACGCTGGCATTCTCGACCTGTTTTGCCGCATCAAATAGAACCTAAAGAATTTCGTGAGAGAAAAGTCGTGTTTCTGAGAACCTGCGCCTTCGTCGCGTCCAACTTTCTTTTCTTGTCCGAGACGAATTCCGTCTGAAAAAAGGAGTTTTCATTAGCTTTTCGGCTTCGCAAACCCGTATAAAATAGTACCTTAACACCATCCTTGACATGGTGCACCTTGATCTCCCAAAATGACTTGGGAACGAACTGTTGAATGGCCTTGACCCTTCCGACAACAAGACCAAGGGTCGGAAATTGGCAGCTTCCGAATGTAATAAACTATAATGGGCTCGAAATTGTTGAAAAAACCGTACATCTTCATTTCCTGTGCCAAATAAGGTCGGATCATGTTTTCTCAAGGCTTTAGTTTGAAGGCACGTGAAAGCAATACCTAAAAAACATATCTCTAGCATCTCGTTGCACGACAAACTTAGGCGTAGATCGAGTTCATAGCGGCAATTCACAGCCTCGATCATATTCTTGTTTAACGACCGGAGATTGGTCAGTGCCGAGCGGGCCTCGACCTCCGTTACTTCGAAAAAACTAAAAATTAGTGTTTTCTCAGAGCTTTTCGGGAAACATGGCAGGCTCGATGTACTTTCGAAAAACGAACTTGGCTCTGTAAACTTTCATTCGGGGGTTGAAATTGAGACAAATGTTCTTGATCTGCCACGCAATATGCTCGCCTTCGAGATCGCAATCCGTCCAAATCACCAGCACATCAGCTTCATTGGCCTGATGCCTGAAAAAAATTCATGTGGTCCCGATCATAGATACATACGCCAGGTTCTCAGCGACTTTTTTCATGTCGCTGCGCAAAGAACTGCAAACCGGCCTGTCAAATGCAACGTCGCTCTAAAAATGTGCGGTAAATGCCGGCCATCCGAGGCAGGGGTGTTTTAGAACACACCTAGAGAACAGGCTAAAAGCGCTAAGGAAAATGATATTACAATCACTTACCGGAGCGTCTCGCCATCTAAAATTTTTCGCTCTAAACTTGTCGGAACTGTTCCGACCATTCAGAAATGGAAAGCGTAGGAGCAGCGGGGGCTATTTCGAAAAGGCCACAGGCGTTGGGCGGAGCCCGCAGGGGCGACTATAAAAAGCCTGCCGGCCCCCACTAAATCACTCTGAACAAACTCACACCGATCGTGCTCACCCCGCTGTGTCAGCCCAGACTAGGCTGAGACGATAGAGCGATCTGTGAAGATTCAGAAGAATAATAATTTATCACAGATTTCCATTACTGGATAGTTCCCCACTCCGGCAAAATATAGTGCATTGCAGTAATTGTATCCTATACTTCTCTGGCAATAAAGATATACCCCAGTGACGCCCAGAAATCAACAAAGAACACCGACTGTAAGATACGTGGGCATCACAATTTTGGTGCGTCGGCTATTCTAACCCGGGCTACATTCTACCACCTCAAATTTACAACTGGTGCAAGCCCCCTTTCCTAAAAAACCCCAAAAAATTTGTTTAAAAATCCACTGAACGTAAATCCCCCCTTACTTATCAAGAAACCTATCTATCTCCAATTTTGAAACCCATAATTCCGAGTCGAGCGACTCACTATATTCCGAACCACCCGCCCGCTGAAGACCACGCTACGGCAGTCGCACAGCAGCAGTGTCAAGTAAGTCAGTTTCATTATTGCAGTTCATTTACCGTATAGCCCTAAATTTCACATTTCAGTCCAATTTCTGCTCACTATCAAGACCTTATCATATAAAATAGTTAAAATCCACTAAAAATTTTAGTAGACGTATTACTTATTGCCATCCTTCTTATTTTATTAACCTTCCTTATCCTATTACTCTGTGCCCAACCGTATCCCCGTGATTTTGAGCAACAAGTTCGGTCACCCTTTGATCCATACACCCATTTCGGCCCCCATTTTTATCGCAACCGTAACCCTCGCCCTCTACGAGCAGTCCTCGGGACCAGAATGGCGGGCAACGGTCAGCCTCTCCGCCCATCTCGGGCGTTGGAAAGTCGAGAATATTCCCGTAGGGTACGAGTCGTAGCCGACACGAGCCAGGAAATTACGGAACACATCCAATTCGATATGAATGTACGTATTCCTCAAGTGGCGGTATTAAATGAAGCCGAGCGGGCTGCCGCCGCGGCTCGGCTACCCGATCTTTATACCCAAAAGAGGACCCTTGAGGGTGCAGTGCAACAACTAGACGACCAGATTGCACGAATTATGGAATTAGAAGAGGATCCAGAACATGAGCATTTTCGTGGTATCCTCGCAAATCTAGAAACCGATGAGAATACCCGTATTCTCAACGACGCAAGACGATACATTAGGTGGCTTACAACAGCCTATCAGGGCCTTGAAGGACAAATTCATACATATGACAAATATCTAAGGCCCCCTCCCGTCGCCCAGCAGCGGGAGGCCGTGCCGAGAGAAGAGGTACAGCCTGCAATCGCTCTAGCGATCCCTAACGCTCCGCGCCGGGGGGGTGCGAGAGGCCCGGGGCGGGAGGCCGCGGGAACCCCCCCCCCCCCCCCCGGAGCCCGGAGCCCAGAACCCCCCACCCGGGCCCGCGGGGGCCCAACCCCCCCCCCCCCCCCCCCCCACCCCAAGCCGCCCCCCCCCCCCCCCCCCCCCCCCCCCCCGGCCCGCCGCGGCCCCCGGCCCCGGGGGGGCCCCCCCCCCCCAAGACCCCCCCCCCCCCCCCCCCCCCCCCCCCCCCCCGGGCCCCCCCCAGGGGGGCCCCCAAGGGGGGGGGGGAGAAAGGGGGGGCCCCCGGCCTCTAGAAGAAGTTCCCCGCGGGCCCGGGGGGGGGGGCCCCCCGGCCAAGAAAAAAAAAAGGGGGAGGGGGGGGGGTTTTGTTCCTTTCCTGACCCCCCCCAGGAAAAAAATAAAAAAAACAAACCAACACCCCACCCTGGCACCGCCGGCCCCCCCCGCCCGGGGCCCCCCCCTGCCAAAAATATTTTTTAGGGGTTTTTTATTAATATTTTTTTTTTAGTTATTTTAAAAGGAGGTTTTGGGTTGTTTGGGGGTGGGGGGGGGGGGGGGGGGGGGGGGGGGGGTGGGGGGGGGGTGGTTGGGGGGGTTGGGGGGGTTTGGGGGGGAAAAGGGGGGGGGCGGGGGGGGGGGAGGGCGGAAGGGGGGGGGAGGCGGAACCGGAAAACCAAACCGGCCCCCCCGGGCCGGTCTGCCCGGGGATGGTGGGGGGGGGGGACGGAGGGGGGGCAATGGGGGGGTTTTGGGGGGGGGTGGGGGGGGGGGGGGAAAATAAAGAGGGGGGGAAAGAGGGGCCTCCGGGGGAAAAAAACCCAAAAAAAAAAAAAAGAGAAAACTAAAAAAGGAAAAAAAAAAGATAAAATTTGTGTGGGGGGGGGTTTGGGGGGTGGGGGATTGGGGGGGTTTGGGTGGGGGTTTTTTTTTAAAATTGGGGAGGGGTTATATAGGTTTATGTAAAAATGGGAGGGCTACAAACTTTTTTGGGTTGGGGGGGACGGGGCCGGGGGGAAAAAAAAACAAAAGAAGAGGAAAAAAAGGGGGGGAAGAAAGGAGGGGAGGGGGGAGAAAAAAAAAAAAAAAAAAAAAAAAAAAGGAAAAAAAAACCAAAAAAAACCCGGCGAAACCCCCCCCGCCCCAGGGGGCGGGGGGGGGGGGGGGGGGTGGGGGCGGGGGTCGGGGGGGGGGGGGGTTTTTTGGGGGGGGGGTTTTTTGGGGGGGGGGTTTTTGGGGGGGGTGTGGTGGGGGGGGGGTTTTGGTGGGGGGGTCTGTGGCGTCTTGGGGGGTGGGGGTTGGGGGGGGGGGGGGGGCGGGGGTTCCGGGCGCGGGTGGGGGGGCGGGGGGGGGGGCCCGGGGCCCGGGGGGGGGGGGGGGGGGGGCCCCCCCCCCCCCCCCGAAATCCAACTCCCTGAATTCAATGGGGATCCGATAGAATATAATGCATGGATTACAACCTTTCGACGAATTATCGGGGACAATCCTCAATTAAATGCATTAGATAAATTTAGTTATCTTAAAACTAGCTGTCGCGAGCGAGCCCAAAATATTGTGGGCCACCTAAGGCTCACGCCGGAAAATTATGAAACAGCGCTGACACTTTTGGAACGGCGTTACGCAAACCCGGAATTACTGATTAGGACCCTGTTCAACAGGCTTGAAAGCATACCCTCCACTAGGACCACGGCAGAAGCCGGACCTACCTATGATAGAGTGCGCGCTATCATTGAAGAACTACGACAAAACAACGTAGAAATTGATCCACTGACTAGAGAACGCGTGATTAAAAAATTCCCAATAACGATTCAAAAGAAATTGTATAACGCCGAACACGGCCATCAAAATTGGAATCTTGAAGAATTCTTAGAAGCGCTTCATAGCGCGATCGAAAAAGCGGAGCATTTAATGAATGTTACCGATCCCCGGCACGATGCCGAAGAGGTCAGCTTAGCTATTAATAGAGCCTATGAGAATTCCCGATACAGAAACGCAACACAAAGACCTTCATCCCCGTTTTCGAGCCGGTATAACCAGGAGTCGCGACCGTACGGCGCCGTACCGGCCTCAGATCGGTTTCCCAGGAATAAGAGTCAGGAAAGGAAAAAATTCTGCGTTTACTGTAAAAATACAGATCATATTAGCCTATACTGCTCGAAAGTCGCAGATAATGAGGAACGGCGAAAACTCTTGCGGAAAGAAGATCGCTGTTTTGTTTGCACGCGTACTAACCCACATGACTGCCGCAAAAGGCCATGTAGATGCGGATCGACTTACCACCATCCGTCGATTTGCCCACTCGACCCAAAAATTGGCTCTAAAATTAAGCGAGGCCGCTCCCCAGGTAGGCAATCTAATAGGGGACAGTCGCGCCGTGAGCAAACGCCAGGCCGCATTCTAAATGATGGCAAGGGAAAAACATATTCGACAGCTCTTAAAGTTGAAGATGACGAAAGTTCAGATGAGCCGGTCACCGAACCGGACTCTACAGAAGATTGGTCTTCCGTCACCGACTCCGACTCACACGAAGACGACTTGACGTCCGACACCTTCTCCTTGACCGCGCTACACGCTAACCAGACGAGGCCCACCATACGCTCCCACAACCTGACCGGCAAACTCACCACGCAAGGTAGGACCCGTTGTTTAAAGGTTCACACAATTTTTGATTCGGGTAGTCAACTTTCTTTCATTTCCAACGAGCTTAAACAAGCTCTAGACCTCCCAGTCAAGGCCAACATTAATCTCACCATAGGCACGATTGGAGGAAGAAAATTAACGCAACCAGCCGATATAGTCGAGCTGGGGTTATTAGATGTTAGCGGCCAGTGTCACAAAATCGACGTACTCACTATGAAACATTTAATTTCCCCATACTCTATCGTGTCCCCTACAAAGGCGGATTATGATTACTTAACTGATCACAATCTGAAAGTCGAGGAACTCGCTGGGCACCGCGCAATCGCCCGGCCAGGTCTGCTTTTAGGCAATGATCATATTTGGAACCTATATAATTATAGCAAAAGACCACATAAATTGCCTTCAGGCCTCACCGTGCTACAAACCCATGTCGGGTGTTTCATCGGTGGCAGACAAGGAGAAAACATATGGCCCAGCCAAAATTGTCTAAATATCGCCTCCCTCTCTATATCGGTGCCAGATCTCGAGGAACGAGAAGAAAATTTAAATGAGGCAATTCAAAAATTCTGGGAACTCGATAACGCCGGAATCAAAGACAATTCCGAGCAAACGCTCGAGCAGGAAGTTGTGCAACAAATTAAAGATACCATGGAAGAGCGCAAGGACGGTCTTTATGTCCGTTTCCCCT